TAAAGTATTTTGTCTAGTGTCAATTATATCGTCAGTTATATCGTTATCGCAAATTTTCAAATGTATATCATGATAAATAATAAATGATATCGCCCTGCTCTAGTCACTTTTGTTTTTCTTTTCGCCTTAATGAATATATTTGAGCAACGTGCATAAACTCGAGCTCTTGGAAAGAGTCTACTTTCACACTGCTCTAATTTGGTTCCATGTCAAGTTTAATTAGTTTCATTTAAAGTAGAACCCAAAAAAGTAGATTCTGTTCATCTCTTTTCAGTCTGAGAAAACATGTGTCCAGCTTTTTTAGGTTTTCCTTACCTGGATGATTGAGCGTGCATCAAAATCATTTAATGTACTGTTAAAAAGTCTTAAATGTAGCTGTAGACATGTGGGGAAAATGGCTGTATTTGTTAGTTTCTGTAATTGAGACAGACTGTAATTCACAGGTCAGATTTTAGTCACTTTTGAGTCTTTCATGTTTCTTTTCAGCCCGTTGCTTAACATTACTTCTGTCAATATTGGCCTTCAAAAAAAAAGTGTTAGAGGTTTAGATCATATGCACTTACAGCACCCAGGTAAATATTTAGACTTTATGTGGAAAACGTGGGGATGAATGTCAGGGTCGGGTTTTGTTCTTGACTGTTTAAACACGGCTTGTCCTTTCAGGCCACACTTGTCCTCAAAGCGAGAATGCGAGTCTTGTTTGTTCGGCCTCGGCACAATACGCAACCTGGTGAAGGTGGCAGGCTGGGCGATAGGGTTCTGATTATGGTATCACGAGGCCTTGATAAGCAGGGGGAGAGCGATATCTCCTGCCCGCAGTTCTTTAATAGAGGTGCTGAGTGAAGTAAGAGATCCAGTTTTGTCATGGTGGAGGGCGCTGACGCTTGTTGTCACCAAAAGCCGTGCTTTTGATAAAGCTCACGTCATGAGCGAGGTAAGTCACTGAAACTGCAGAAGAAGTGTTGATCTTATTCAATTTACTCGTTGTTTTTTTTGTTTTGTTTTTTTTTTCCTTTTACCTACTGTGCTTCCCTCAGCTTGTTCTCATACGTGCCATCGGTTGTGGAAAATTCTTGCACCCCTTCGAGAATCCTTCACACGTTGCTTCCACCTCGAGGGATTCACCGTGAAACCATGATATGAATGAGGGCCCTGTAAAAACAAACAACGAGATCATTTAGCTACACTCTGAGGGCTTCACTTGTCCGGATAATGTGCTGCAGGGTTTTGGATTAGTAATTAAGTGCTGAACAGTTGATGGTGATGTGGATGCAGGCTGATGCTTCAGTTCATAGCAAAATAGCACAGATCTGCTTGGTTATTGGTCCTTAAAGCTGAATTCTTGACTCTGGAGGTCACTGAGGTGCAGTGAGTCTGCTCTCTCCTGTTTTTAGGCACTTGTGTAAAAAAAAAAAAAAAAAAAAAAAAAAAGGGGGGGGTGGGTGGGTGAGAGATCTGAGAAATTGAACCTTGGGTCAATATTGAACGTTTGCTTGAAAGCCTTTTATTTTCAGCCCGTCCTCCGTTCAGCAGAGGGCTTACTGCTGCTGTCACCTTTGTGTGGCATGCAAAAAGAAGCATGGTGTTACAGGCTATGGGAGTCAGTTTTCCACACTTTTCCTGCACATGCCTGCATGTCTGATCATCTGTTGACCTTTAATTATGATTAACCGGAAAGTTTCCTGCTTACATTTTCTCATCTTGATGGACTTCATAATCTTCGTGTGTCTAGGGGACCTTTGTACATCACACAGGTGCTGTAGAAGGTGTAGAAAATGTGATGTGAGCTATAAAAAAATGATAAAAATATTTTACAGCGTGCTTGTAAGTAGCAACATTTTTATTGTTGTTTTAATTGAAGCAAGTTGAAAGATGTTGATTTTTATTACTAGTAGTTAAACTGAAGTTTTGTAGTTTAAACCCATCAGAAAAGCATTTAATAACAAGAGTACAGTACCATCTGTGCCAAAACTTTGTGACTAGACACAAAACTATCATCACGTTTGCTGTTGCTCCCTGCAGCACAGGAAAGCCTAGTGTAGGACCACCATGTTGGGTGTCCTGGGAACATTTAACAGGGTGTCAAATGACTTGCAATCCCCGAATTCTGCCACCTGCTGAATGGTGTCTGAGCAGGTACTCTTGTCATATCGCTGCAGTCCATCCTTTTCTCAATATCTCACCGGGAGAGACAGAGCAGGGCTCAGCGGGTTACTGCGTCGTGCTGCAGGAAAACAGATCTCTTATCACCCATGTGATCCCTGTTGGAACTGATCAAAGCTCATGGCTATGGTTTCTGACTTTAAAGCTCATGTTGAAGAAGACATGACCTAACTGATGTGTTCACAGCTAGAACAGAACGCCCTCTAGTGGTGGTTTTAAGTGAGGCGCACACTTTCTGAGCTGGGTTTTCAGCATGCACTCTTAGACATATGCATATCTTTTCTAACATAGGGCGAGAGGCGGGATACACCCTGGACAGGTTGCCAATCTGAAGCATTTCCTCATTCTAATTTCACTGCTGTCTTGTTTATTTTCATCTTTTGTTGCAGCCAGAAGCTCCTGCTGCTTCATCACTACACGGGTCTCCGCGCCCAGAAGAGGAGGATGATGGGGACCTGAATAAAGCCTTGGGTGTCCAGCGCTTCCAGCAGATCCTCACGCCTGCTGCTGCCGTGCCTGATAAGGAGCACCACATTTACCATGACGAAGACATTGAATGTGAGCGTGCAGAAGCTTCATAAAGCATGGAGATGCTTTCAGTTGTGTGCAAACAGCTCTGAGATTGATGCATTTATCTGTGTTTCAGACCACCGACACTCCTCTCACCACATCCACCGGCCTCTGTCCAAACTGCCCTCTGACGTACGCAGGAGGAAGGGCAGCAAGAAAAGGAAGAAGGATAAAGATCACAAAAGCAGCCATCCTCCCTGCAGTGTCCCCATAGAGGAAGGTGAAGATGAGGAGGAAGAGGAAGAAGAGGGGACAGAGCTAAATTCTGTTCTGTCAGAGTCGGAGAGATCCAAAGATGTGGAGGTAATCATTTTATTATTTGATTCTTTTGAGTCTTTTTAACAGTGTTTGGGAGCGAATAAGATTAAACCCCGCGAGAAGCGTTATTTGATACAAAAATTGGTTGAAAATGTCTTTTAAATACAAATTTGCTTTGAGAAAATGGAACGATGTGATGTAACTTTTCTCTTTTAAACCAAACTGAAACCTACTGTGTACCTTTAGGCTTGTTCTAATTCAGGGTTAATTAAAAGCTTGGATTATGTTGAATTCTGGCTTTTGCAATAGACTGACAACTTTTCACCTTTGATTTTCTACTTTAAACATAAAGAGACTTCAGACCAGAATAAATGTTGATGGGTTCCTGAGGTTTGGTGGAATTTGAGAAGAAACTCTATACTCTTAAACAAACACTAATCAACACTGAGCAGGCAAAATCCCCCCTTTTAATAGAAGGGAATGTCAAACAGAACCGGACTCGGAGTGGGTGGCTATTTGCCTCAACCCACTTGAATGAGTTCGCATAAAATCAACAAACGATAATCATATGATTGCATGAAAATTTGTACTCCCTTTGAATTCATACTGAAATCCAGCAACATCTAAATAACTCTGATTTATGTGCAAAAGTCTCCACAGGCTTTGTTTCTCCATTGTCTGGATGTGAGAGACGTTTAATTTATTTGATTTATTTATTTTTGACCGTGTTACAGTAAGCAGCACTCTCACGCTTCCTTTCCCCTCCACAGTTCTTCGTTTCCGAAGATGACCATGTATCCAAAAGTGTCAAAGAGAGCCCACACTCGGTCCGAAAGCTCGACATCGTACCGCAGTCCGGTGTGGGAGGTGAACATGAAGACGCAACTTCCACAGAGTGAGTCAAGTCTGCTTCATAGACTTCAAAAAGAAGTGAAAAAGGGCGTGATTGTTAGGTTGGTAATCATGCCTTACCTGCCACGATGACTGCTTAATGCATGTTTTTGTCTTTTTTGATGAAATGTCCTCACAGCCATCCTGTTTGGGTGAGAGCACTGAGGCTCACGCCTGTTCGGGGGGCGGGGGTGTGTGATGTACTGTACGTTACCATGTCTCAGGCATCCAGTGAGCCTGCTGGGCATGATCAGATGGACCAGAGTAATCCTGTCCTCAGAGACCCATATATCACCTGTTGCTACTCAGCAGCCCAGACTCCACCTGTGACATTTACTTTGTTCCTTTTTAAAGAAATCTGAGCTTGAAAGAAGCTGCACATACACCTTTTGCTTACTTTGAGTCGATTAGAGATTAGCTTAACCGCAGAAGATTTGTCTTTTAAACCATTCTTGCCTAAAGTGGAAGAAGTTGACTTAAAGACGAGGTTGTAAAGTAGCGTTTACGCTAGACGGTAAGTTAATTATGTTTATTTTTGCTGGATACGTGTTGTTAAAATTCTTT